AAGTTTCAAGAAGATTTAACGTTTTAAGGTCGAAAAAAAAGCATTTGAAAATTGACAAAAATATTGCCATATTCAAAGTGCTCATAGTGGCCAACAAGATGCCGATGACGAAAATAACATCACTTGAAAAACGCCAATTTATTTATGTTTAAGAGCGACTAAAACAAGGACTAAAAGCTCAGGATCAATAAAAATACCTGGGGTTTAGTACAACATAAGTTTTGGGACTGTCAAAATGTTTTATAGTATCTATTTTTGAGTTGATCGGCGAGATTTCCTTCGGCACGTCCAAACTTTCGTCATTTTTTCAAAATACAAGAGCAAAATTCCTTACTTTTTGCTGCAGAGAGATGTAAAACAGTTGGGACTAATCGGAAAACCTGGTTTGAATCCCAGTCATTGCAGTATTCCCATGGTAAAAGTGTTTTTCTTGCACATTTTTGCTCGAAAACAAACTTTTGACAGAATGTTTTTCACTCCTCGAAACTCTCCTTAGTCCTTTTGAAAGCTGATTTTCCCGCGTGCCGGCTTCAACGAATCATAGACTTTCATCATAGGAGTTAGCCTTCCAGTTATTATTAGAGTTCACTGGATTGGGCTATCTGAAACTTCAACCTGATACTCGGGGTTTTTACTTCCACTCAGGGTTTTTACTTCCGCTATAAGTGAAAACCCTGAGTATCAGGTTGCTGAAACTTATGATGCGCTATAGCGCTTATAACCTTTGGTACAACTGGTGTTAAACTTAAAATATTGATTCAATAAGTTTAATATCAATATATTTATTGAAAAATAGCCAAATAACTATTATGTCAAAATAAGAAAACTTAAGATTCTCACGCGAATTAGCCGACGGTGCAGACTCCAGCAGAAACACGCGAACAGACAATGTTTTTATAAGCGACCGTTAATAATAATAACATTAACAAGAAAGTGAGTCAAGGTTTTATCGAAAGCGATTGACTGTTAGATTTCCTTTACAATTTAGCTTTATTGTAACTTTTTAAATTAAAGGTATAAAAACCCGTGGAAACGGTGAATTACTATAATAGATTGAAAATGATTATTTATCATTTTGACGTTCGAGTGATTGAAATGAGTTAACTTGCACTACATCGAATATCATGTTGAATGTCATGTTGAACCGTATGCGCGTACTTCACAATGGCTGCTACTTCGTTGTATTGAACTTCAATAGTATTAGCCTACTATAGTCTATTTATAATTCAAATTTTGTTTGATATTTATATTCCATGTTATTTACAAAATGTGCTGTAGTTTTAGTGAAGCTTTGTGCACAATATAATCAGTGCAAGCACAATGGCCCCGTTTCAGTTTGAGTATATAAAAATCGAGTATTTTGATAGCGTTGGGCTTGATATATATAAAACATAAACGCCTCAGTGAATATTTATAATCTGCCGTGCGAGCACAACGGCTCCAAAATCACAACAAATAACAGAATATAAGGTAAGTTAAAAACAGTAAAGCTTTACCTACCTCGATTTAATTTTTCTAATGCGCTCAATTACGTAAATTTTCGGCGAACTCGACGAAAACCAGCATGAAAAGCTCGTCGGAAAAACTCGGTATTTGTCGTATTATACGAATCTGCCACGTGACTGGCATGCTCACCGCTCACCGCCACCGCGACACGAAATTTGAGCTATATGAAAGTTGCATGCCATATAGGGCATGCAACAAAAACTCAAGAAATGTGGGAAAAGACGATACTTGAAATATATGGATTTACACTCGGATTTACAAAGGTAAAAAACGTATTTTCATATTCAATTTTATTTAGACTTTCTATTTTTAAAAGAGGGAATTAGGTTTTGTGTTATGCACCACTTATGTATAAGCTGGGCGTCAGGGTGCTGGAAGCTGATCTGGGAAGGTAATTTCTACCTAGCTTTCTTGCATGGTTGGGGATACTTCTTGATTTTTGTGTCATATAAATAGTAATATAGAGGCTTGAGATAAATCACACTTCATTCACCTCATTCCCAGGATGTTTTCTCAGTAAATATCACTCTGAATAAATAATGTACTTTTATATTAAGTACACTCATAGTTCTGATACCCCTGGTTTAAGCTGAGGAGTATGTTAGGTCACATTCTTTTGTTTACCTTGATCATATGCTATAATTATGTTACTGGTGGATTCTTGTACAATCTGTATAATTAATCTGTTCTTTTTTATTGCAGATTTATTCCACAATGACACACTCCTTTCTGGGTGGCAAAATACAGTACCAAGCCACATCTTTGGAAACTCAACATACTGTATTTTACATGCTTCCAGAAATTATATCACCTTGGCTATAGGCTATAGAGTCATTTTCATGATTGAGACATTGGACTAAAACTCATGCCACATACATGAAAACAAGGCTCCATAGCCAAAGTGACATACATTATGGAAGGGTGTAAGGTGTATTTGACTTTTTGTAAAATTGTTAACAATAAACAAATTAAAAAACAAAAATGTATAATTTTAATTGCTATAAAACTTATTTACACTTGAACAAAGTTATCGATAATCATATAATTATTTATTAATTATTAATTATTAATTAATTGTTATGCATGGTATTATAATTATAACTTCATTTTGTAATTGTTCTGCATGTTCTTCTGCATGTTGATGCCTGTGCCATCTCTTTTGTATATTAAACAGATCATTTCTACAAAATAAAAGACAACATTATTATCATGATACATTATACATCTTTACACCACAAAATATCATATACACATATGTTAACCCTTCAAGTGGCAATGTGTTTTGATGTGCCTCACTGTTTTATTTTTGTCTTACTGTATTATGTCAGACAATTTTACTAGTCAAGGGGAGAGTGCAATTACATGATCTGTTTTTACCAAGATCATTAATCTGAGCTTCTAAATTAAGTGTCATGTTTCCATATTCAGCAATGCAATTACATTCCCAACTAACTGCTAAAATATGTCAAACTATTATTAGCAAATTTTGTCATAATTTCTCACAGAGCAATCGCACATCACCTTCTCCAATGTTAGAAATTTGTATGTTCTTGCAAGTAACTATGAGATCATATACTACGTGTAAAACTACAAAGTTTTAATAGTTCTGAATAGACAAATTATGTAATGTAAAATGTTATCTATTTTTTAAGACTCTTCTCTTGATGAATAAAACAACTGGATTTAGTCTCACCGATAGAGTAAAATAAAACAGGGACTGTGGAGCCTGTTTAAAGGTGTGTGTGTGTGGGGGGGGGGGGGACAGGATAGCATGAGTCAGGAGCTATTTCACATAGGCAGGCTGTCCAGATTTTATCCAGTAATTTTTATCCACTGAAAAAGTGGGGGGGGGGGCATGGCCCCCCTGTTCTGCAGTCCCAGTAAGAAAGTAGCTGGTTCATTTGGGTGCATTGCATCTTAATGGGCTGACTATATATCTCAGGGGCTGCTCATTGGCAGATAGTGTATTAAATTGACCCACTGCGAGGCAGCAGTGAGCGGTCTCCTCTTAATATCATCTGGCATTAGACAAACAGAGTAAAATAATAAAGACTGTCTTTTATATAGGGCTCATCAGCTAGGACAGGGCACATTGTCAAATGTAGGTGGGCCTCCTCTACTCAAGTCTCTCTAGTCTTGTGCTTATCTATATATACTAATTCTGCGTTATGATGGGCAAGTATATAAATTTCACACCATATTAAACCTTTATGAACATGTAAACAACCACAATTTATACAAGTAATTAAAAACTGTCAGTCTGGCAATATTAAAACCACAAAGGGCAGGCCAGTGCTGACACTGAAAACAACATAATTTCATGTAGTACACAATATTTAATCATTAACAATATTTTTATGTATGAAATATTTGCTGTATATATTAATAGGATGATGAGTTTTGACATAATGAAGGGTCTAGTGGACTGAGTGACTCAGAGTCTCAGACTAGCTAGTCGTCTAGAAAGTTTAATACAAAAAGTTTCGTGAATCTTACCTGAAAGAATTTATAGTCTTTCTTTTTAGTTTCTCTGTAGTAAAGTGCTGCATCCACAAGCGAAGCAAACTGGCGTTGTAAAACAAGTAATGTGCGAGGGAAATATTAAGATTTTTGCTCAAAAACAACAGAAAACTTGAAATATCTTTATATTATTAAATATATCTGTGCAAAAACCAGGGGGGTTAAGGACATCTTCGAAAGCTTAGGATCGCGGTTGGTCAGTGGCAATTACCATGAAAATAAAGTAAGTGTTGTCATGGAAATGGCGTAAGATCCGCCATGTTTTTGCGGACACTTTTTTATCCCGAGCAGGTCCTCTAGTAATATAGTATAGCTCAGTGATTACAAGTCTATTTGGCTGCATGGCCGGATTTGAGGGGAGGTGCGCACCTCCCCTGAGATCGTTTTGCACTTCCCTGAGAATTTCTGCACCTTTCGTAAAAAGTCATGCACCTCCCTTGGGAAAGTTTCAATGATAGATCAAAGTGAAAATTTGACATTTTTTGGTTGCTTAGGGTCTACACTTTTCTGTAAAATTGAAACAGTGATAGCCATTCATCTCTGTATTAAGTACCCTTTTAATGCAATGTTTTGAAAGAAACTTTGTAGTAATGGACCATTTTCATTATAGAGTAAATTTTGATCTAAACAAGTCTAGACAAAAATCATCACCACAGCTTGAAAGAGCATCACAAAATTAGTAATATTCCAAAGTTTCGTTGCGAAATGTTGTAAAATGCGGATAATTATAGCCTTGCGAAGTTTGCCGTTTTTCAGTCATTTTGTATTACAACGGGAAATTGACAGCCCCAAAGGGTATTGGGCTGTCAATTTCTCCCGCGGCATATAAAATGACTGAAAAACGGCAAATTTCGCAAGGCTATATTATCCGCATTTTACAACATTTCGCAACGATACTTTGGAATATTACTAATTTTGTGATGCTCTTTCAAGCTGTGATGAAATTTTTGTCTAGACTTGTTTAGATAAAAAATGTAGTCTATAATGCAAATGGTCCATTGTAATGAAGGGCAAAATTGGATGAGTTGTACAGTCATAACTCATTAATTCGCTGCACCTTCCCTAAATATTTTTCCACCTCCCCGATATTTCCAACAAAATCCTGTACTTGACCGTTTTGTTTTACGTTTAATCAAAGAACCAATTAATTTCTATGAACTGTATCTTTCAGATTACTTTTACGTTTTTCAAATTGCTTATTAAAATATTTTCGTTTGCTTAAGACTTAATGTAATTAAATTTATTAGCATATGCCTTATGCCTATTAACTTTTTTAATATTATTAGAAAGAGAATGTGTACGATACATATATGTTGTTTATTTTTTATAGATTTTAAAATACTATTAGTTATCCAAGGTTTATCAAGCTGCTTCTGTTTACTAGTTGAAGCTGTTTTAATTGGTGCATGTTTGTTTGAAATGGTTTTAATTGCATTTACTACATGATTGGTTATTTCATTGAGATCACCTCCTTCTTGACATAGAGAATTCCCACTCTTTTCAATGTCATTTAGGTAATTCTCACTTTTTAACGTACTGTAATCCCTAAACACAGGCAAATGATAAGAAAAATCAAAACAGGCAAATGATCCGATGATCAAAAAGCAAAATTTCAGTCATGGTTAATCAATGTTTTAGTACAGTACTGCTCAGAAATAACGTTCCATTCGCGTTCCTTTCGCGTTCCAATTGCGTTCCACTGTTACCGGGACGCATCTGCGGAACGCGTTCCGGTTACACTCGTATCGAAACCGGACATCGTCGGAAATCATCGCGATTTCACTATAAAGCATGAAACCGCGTTTTTATATTTGCTTTCCACTAACGAGTCGCGAATCAAAATAATCTATGATGTACACATCACATACATGTATGTGCGTGGTCAATACTCCGGGACAAAACAAAACACAATCTAGCTAATTTCCTCCATTCGCCATCAGGTTTCTGATGACCATGTAGAAAATGCTCGCGCTTTTCACAAAACTCAAAAGGGCATCAAATAAATAAAAACAGTTTTGAAGGAATTTTAATGACTTTAACAGTATTGTCTAAAATTATGGAAATTATTGTCAAAAGTTATTCACTCACGCGTGTGTTGAATAGGCTACATATTGAATTTCATTTCCGAAAGAGGTTAGAGGTAGCCAAAATATCACAGTGTTTGGACTTTATAAAATCATCATCAGACTAAACCCGGTTTACACTAGTCACTATCAAAGTTTCTGTTATCATAGGAGGAGTTTTAAATGGATAAACTAATACCGGAAAAAGCACAAGGTAAGGACGGTCGTCCAGTTTATTAGCTATCCTGTAGACTAGAAATACAGATAATTTTAATCTTATAGGGGCCGATTAAATGGAGCATTTTCAACCCCGGGGTTGAACTCAGCCCTGTTTACCGGGTTGAAATTTCAGCCCTGTCTGTAATACAAAACTCTATCAAAATCAAACGCGCGATTACATGAAAAAATTGGGTTGAAATTTCAACCCTACTTCAGCTAGCAGGGTTGAAATTTCAGCTAGCAGGGTTGAAATTTCAACCCCGGGGTTGAACTCATTTGGAAGATGTAATCGTTTCAACCCAGGGCTAAAATTATCATGAGTTATTCGAGCATACGTGGTAGTGATTATTTATTACAAGAAAACAAAATAAAGGCTTTTTTTACTTCCGGGAATCGATGCCGAGAACGTATAGTATAGCGTTTCAACCCCGGGGTTGAAGTCGTCCATGTAATCACAAAAGATTTCAACCCGGTTAACAGGGCTGAGTTCAACCCCGGGGTTGAAAGTTCTCCATGTAATCGGCCCCTTAACTCATGCAACAATATTACGCAAGCGAAGTTTATTGCTGATATGCGTGTAATCGCGTGCCACAGTAAGGAAACATCATCATAAGTTGGTACGATTGTTAGTAAATGTATATTGCAAGCATGCACTTATTATAGAATCGACCCGAGATGTTGGGTAGTCAAAAATGTCACAGTCACTAGTATTTTGACTAATTGTAAATGTTTACAATCATGTGTAATGACTTAGTTTAAAAAAAAATGCACAAGCGGCGACAATTTAAAATAAACTGTAGCAAGTATGCTACATGATAAGCTTGCTTCAGCACGTTTCATAGCGATCTATTTGTACCCGTGAGCAGTTTGAACCGGCTGAGTTTTAGTCGGAACTATTTTCATCCCATGTTGTTAAATTGCTGAAATGTAGCCTGTGCACAACACAGACCGCCTTTCTAGCTCGGGTTGAAAGACACGATCGCGATTTGAAGCATTTTCGGCTATTTGATTTGTGTGTTTATGGTTACATAATCATATACAGTTGAAACAAACACGCAAAACAAAGCCATTAAGACGATTTTTGCTGCCGAGCCTCAGCGAGGCAGCACACTATTCTCGACGGTATCAGTCTCCGCGCGCCGAGTTTAGTAGACCAGCTTGAATCTCGAGTTTTTGTGTTTGTATGTCAGCAATTCAGGGGGGTTACGAAAATTAATTACGCTTGCCGGCCGCACAGGAAGTAGTGACAGGAAGATGCACATGTATTTCTTTCATATACTTCAAATACACAACCTGACGCTGAAGCAATCTACAAATTATGGCAATTGTTATCCGAGGGAACATTAATCAAAGCGATGACTGTTTTGATGTTAAGTCTAGAGGTAAACGGTGTGCTTTTAATAGTTTACTGGGGCTCTTTAACAGCCTATAAAAACCTTTTAGGCTGATCGCTTCTCATGCCCGAACGCATTAAAAACAATAGATAATCAGCTGATCTAATTGTTTCTATAAATATTTCGGCACATGAAAAGCACGACGTTTGAAATTAAAATATAGTATTTTATTATAAGGTGACAAAATTATCAATAAAAGCGATGAATAATCTTATCACTTGATTCACTTGCTACCGGGTGTTGTGTATTTGTCCGTGAGAGACCTACGAAAACTTGGTATTTAACCGCCTGTTGTGATGAGTGGCACTGAATTGCCCATTGTGGCTCAGATAAAAATGTACCTGCTGACTCGACAAATAATCTCCTTAACGTTTTAAATAAAACGTCAAATGTTACAACAAATGAGGAAGTAATTTGTGAAATTGACTACAAACAAGAACAACATGGGCGTGTGGTCATTGCTGAGGAAATTCCCTCTCATTATTATAAAATGTGCATAGCAATTGCAAATACATTTAAATATAAATATGCTTTTATGATATTGGAAAGCTACATTATGGCCTTGATAAACCATATGGAGTGTTTCTATCTTATTGACCCTATGTTTGTTTTGAAGCTTGATCTAAACCTAAAGCACCATATGTGTGTTCACGATGTTCTCAGGATAAGAATGAAATGAAAGATTTAACTCAGATTGAGGAAATGTTAATTGTTCGTGCTTTGCCAATCATGAAAGTTTGCAAGCGTGGAGGTCAACGAGGTTATACTCAGGGCATGTGGCTAACATAAGCATTTAAATTTCAAGTGCATACGATCTTGACATTCCCGATCTTGACATTCTTGTTTTGTTCCCTTATACGTAAAAGAAACAGATAAACTTGGGTCTTGTACACCTTTAGACTTGGTTCAAGTCCATCTCAGGCGAAAAGTAGGGAGAAACGGACTTGGGACATTTGTAGCATTTTGAATCTTACTTGCAAAAATTGGCGCGAAAATTTGTTGTTGTTCTCAACTCGCAAGCCACGCCTCCGTAGGAAAAATTAAAAAATCCGAACTTTTCTCTTATATTTTTGCGCCTTTTTTGACCACTCACATGCATCGCTATTTTCAACCCCTTGAGACACGGACTTGAACCAAGTCTAGTACTTCATTAAAAAAACCCTGGCTTGCGAGGTTGCAAACCTTTGTGCTTTTCTGTGTGCGGAATGTTTTTTGTGAGCCATGAAGCATACAGTCTACTTCCGTTTTTACGGAATGCTTTTGTAATGCATCCCAACCATATGAGCGATGATATATATGTAAGTAAAATAGTAAAAAAATTTTTACGAAATAACCACTCATTTGATTTTGTTTTTCGAACAAACGTTTCCACTTAAAAGTCTACTTTTACCCTTTTGCTAATTACTCCCTGTTATTTATTAGACGCGCGATATTAACATATTCGCCAACGCATGATGTCATCGTTTGCTAAAGTGCAGTTGTTATTCTGACTAATTTTATACTATGTGACTGAATTTTATAGATCAAAATAACTTGTAATATCTTAAAAATTCCTATCTCTAAAAATCGTTTCGTGTCCTTAGCTTAAAGCTAAGCCATTATGCACTAACGAACGTTGTCCTCAACAGACACCCATGTGTGATGTGTCTGGCATGACTGCACTATAGCACATTATTATTACGCTTTCCTTCAAACTTTTAGTTCTTGGCCGCAATGAAGAATTTCGACACAAATAAATTATGCAAACCAACTATAAATACTGACAAACACTTTTAGGATCTTGGTTTTAGAAGAAGCTTCACGATTTCCGAGCTTATAGCGATAAAGTAAACTATGTTTTCGAAGGGGCCAAATTTCCGAAGGGGGGGTGGGGCATATTTCCTCCGTGCAGGCGTCGAGGTGTGCAGACGTGTACTCTGTGCTCCGCTAATTTTATACTATAGAACAGGGCGCTTATATCTACCTTAATTTACTAAGCATGGCAGTAAATCTGTGTACAAATCTAAAAGTCATAGTAGGTGAAAAGCCTTATTGGGGCGGTACATTAAACAATTTAAAAGAATTCGTGTCAAATGAATTGAAACTTTCTGGCGGATGGACGTCGCCTGGTGGTGAAGTCAAGCTGTTCACTAGTGATACAGCCAATGTGAGTTTGAAATGGCATAGTAAAACCACGAAATCGATTACCCTGTTTGGAGATTCAATAGAAACAAACGATCTAAGTAAGTTACTATCGACTATGTGTAAAGAAAAGCCCGAGAATCTGGTTAACGATGCTGTTAAATGGCAAGGCTTTGATGGTTTCAAACAGCAAATGTTGGAATTCACTGAAAACATGAACACGAAAATGGAACCCTTAGAACTGAGGTGAATCAATTAAAATTTAAAGTTGATCTGTTGCTTACTTCAGAGAACGTCGTTGACGAGCTAAGGAACGACAAACTAAATCTCATGAAAGAAAACTCTGAGTTGCGCGAGAAAATGCTGAACCTTAGTCTTACTACATCAGACCTGAAAACTAAAGTAAAAGATCTTGAACATGAAAGAGACAGTTTAATAACAGCACTTAAATTACAGCAACAGGATATCGAACAAAATCGAACCACTACTCAAAAACGCCGTGCAGAATGGAAAACAACGTCGGCCCCGAAGAACAAAGACAATCAAGCACCTGCTACATTGAACTTGCACAATAGTTTTGACTGCACCTTAGACGATGAGGTGGGCGAAGAAAATGGGGAACAACATCCAAGTGTAATTAACCTTGACATTAGTCAACAATCCGATCCTGATCATCAACCAACCGAAGACAATAACACCTCAACTGGGAGTAATAACGGCGAAACCTTGACTGGACACATAACAGATCGTAGGAACCCAAACAAAGAAAAATCACAGGAAGCAAAACAAAGCATAGTCATCATCGGTGATTCCATTGTAAAACACATTATTCCAGCAAAATTGTCTAAGAAAAAGGTGCATAAATTTACTTATCCTGGTAAAACGGCCTCAGAAATACACAATAAACTCAATACAATCGAATCAAACCTAACGCCTTCCCACGTAGTAGTTCATGCGGGAACAAACAACATCCCTTCGCAATCTGTGGGCGAATGTATAAACGACATTGAAGAACTTATTGTTGGAGTGAAGGAGAAATTTCCTAATTAAAAAATTGGTATATCTGGTATCACAACAAAACAAGACATCGACTCGACATCAAAGGTTAATGAGGTCAACGAGAAGATCAAGGCCATCTCACTAAAGCATTGTGTTAAATTTATTGACAACTCCTCTTTGGACGAAACCTCTCTAAACTCCAGTAAACTGCACTTGAATTCAAAGGGCACAGCAATATTAGCAACCCATTTCATCAACTTCATTAAAGGAGGAAAACCATCAAGCCAACTGCGAAACCGCACCAGACGGGATTTTCAAACGGGAACCATAAACCAGCTGGAGGAACTGTTGAAGCTAATTTCTCGCTTGAATCGCCATCCAACAGATTAAAGTCATCAGGAATTACTCATTATTTTTAGCGATAAAGAAAATGCCGGGCGGGAGTCTGAACCTGTGCTGCCGGATATAAGCCGTAAGTGTTTTGATATTAATTATAAACCGTTTGGTAAAGGTTTAGTGATGGCATCTCTAATTGATGAATTTCGAGTTTTTATGAATGAATCTGATATTGATATTATTTCAATCAATGAAACAAAACTTGATTCTTCAATTAAGGATAATGAGGTTTATATACCTGGTTATGAAATAGTAAGAAAGGATAGAAAAATAAATGGCAACATGGGGGTGGTGTTTGTATATCTATATATAAGATGCAATCTTAACTACAAAATTTGTAAAGATTTAAGCTCTGATGAATTAGAGTATCTAACTGTAGAAATTACTAAACCTCGAACTAGATCACTATTAATTAGTACCTGGTATAGGCCCCCAGACTCACCAGTGTGCCACTTTGATCATTTTGAGAAAATAGTAGAGAAAGTTGATGCGACAAATCATGACTATTTCCTCCTAGGCGACATAAACGTGGACCTGATGAAATGTGGGTGAAATGGAAGAACATGTTAATTAATTGTATTGACAAGCATGCACCACTCAGATCAAAAAGAGTTGGGAAAAAGAAATCCCCCTGGATCACCAGCCAATTAAAGCAAAAAATGCGTAAGAGAGATTTTCTGAAAAAGAAAGCTAAGCAGACCGGTGACCCATTAATTTGGCAACAACATAAACATTCACGAAATAGCACGAATAATGAAATTAAAAGTGCAAAAAGTCGATATCTTAAGGTTAACCTTGACGCTAATAAGAACTCAGTGGTCCCAAGGATAGTGCAAAGTGGCTACGACAAATGATATAAGTCAGCAAGACCCATTGTAACAAGATTGGGTGTATCTTCTGACAAAGATTTATTATGATACCCATCCGCACACGTACAGAATGAATGAATGAATGAATGAATGAATCGAATGAATAGCTTTATTAAAGAGTGAAAAATCCACGAAGTGGTTTTTCACTTTACACTCTAACCACTAATTCTGTTTTGTGATTGGCGCGGTTTAATCAAAGAATCTCCCCGTTGAACCAGAGCCTTCGCGACGTTTCAATTTATTATTTACTGTCGAAGGCTCTGGAATCCAGGGTATTGTCTCTGGGGCAAAATTTCAATTGCCAGTTTTGATTTGATAAAATTTATAAAGGCTTAAGGCTTATAGTTATAATTCGTTTACGAGACATTATTGTTGAATTTATAAAAGGATGCGGCTTCTATTAATTTTAAATCAACGCTATATTTGGTGCATATAAAGTATTTATAATATAGTTATTCATTACTGTAATAAAAATGCTAGCGACACTATACTCTATACAGCAAGTGGGTCGCAAGTAGTTAGTTGTACTATTGCGGTGGCATGCAGCCAACTTTAGCGCTGCATTATATTCTGCCCATAAGTTTGTTCGTTTAGTTTGTGAGGATATACACTCAGAGTAACATCACAAACATCAAGTGAACTAATTGACAAATTGTATTATGACTATTGACAGTATTGTTGACAAATCAATAAAAACATTCAGTACGTTTGACCCTTGAAACTTTCATATCGTTAGTTTTCTCCCTTTCAGCCGTATGTCAATGAATTCGTCTTAAATTTCTCTTCATTTTGATAGTATTTTGAGACCAAAATATTTTATTTGAGGTTTTAAAGCGTTTTGATCCAGCGTACGGGCGACATGAGGAATGTAGCGTACTTTAATAGCGTACTTATATAAACTCTTTACTTGGAGGCGCCGAATGTTTTATTCGTAGACCACCGCAGTTTAGTACTGACTACTGGCAGTAATGCAGTATTTCATGTTTTTTATACGTGTCGAATCACAGGCGGCCCAATCTCGCAAGGGTCAGTATAGACTTATAGCAGTATTGATGTATATTATAGTAATGTATATTATAGTAAAAATATGTCATAAAATATAAATTTTAAAATGAAATTGACTTGCCTATTTGATAGTGTGTGTTCTCCTTTTATTCCTCCTTTGTTGGACTAATATTTTCCGAGACTTTGTACTCGATGTTACTAGTATACATGAAACATGATAAAGGCTTACTATTTCCGATCGTCGATCCGACGGCACGGCACTTCGAAACGAAAATTCTAACACTCAAATCGCTTTATTCTCCAAAACAATTCGCCAGCATGTACAACAAATGCCGTTCTTCGAAAATACGGAGATACTTCGGAGAGATGTACAAGTTTTGGACCATATTTTAACAATGGAAATCAAAACCCATTTTATATTGAACTTGCCCAGGCCGAAAATTACTACGGCGAACGTCTGCGCAACCAGGCCTCCTTTACCGTTGGATTTACAGGGGGGGCAGATATTTCCGGTAACAGCCAGCCATTCGCAACCGTGATGGCGACTAGCCTCCTCCGCAGGCATCTCGTAGTTCACGTACTTCAGAAAGTCGGTGAGACGCCTGCCAAAACCCGACATGGTTGAGCCGTTCTGCGCATCTTGCTTGCGCAGCGATTTCGTCTCTAGGGTATGCACGTGGGGAGGATTTGTCATCCAAGATGGCGGATTGCATGGAGTGAAGAATTATGAAAATTAGTGAATTTATATTAATACGCTCGCTAAAGGCGGCTAAACGATTAAGAATACAGCTTTTGTGGACAATTGAAAGAATCTTAACCCGGAAATTAAAATTGTCATCAAATAATTTACATGTTGTCAGTTGACATATATTTTTGTATATCTGTAAATGGAAAACATCAAGGTTGACGTATATTTTTGTATAAGCTGTAGATAGAAATATAGTTGTAATCTTTTAAGCACTATAAAGATAGACTTTGTGTTAACATCACAATGAAATGCATTTAATTTCATATAATATTTTTTTGGATCAATTATAGTTGGTGTAGTGTACTCAGGTGAATATGATATTTGTGATGTTACTCTGAGTGTATATCCACACCGGGCGAGCTTGAAAAATATGCCCGGCCACGGTGGGATTCGAACCTACGACCTTTGGAATACTAGCCCAATGCTCTTCCAACCGAGCTACGCGGTCAGGACGGTTCGAGTAAGTGATATTTCGGAACAGAATCTAGTTCCTTCGATACCAATGTATTCTAGTAATATGAATTTTTCTGTGTTGGTGTAGTGTACTCAGGTGAATATGATATTTGTGATGTTACTCTGAGTGTATATCCACACCGGGCGAGCTTGAAAAATATGCCCGGCCACGGTGGGATTCGAACCTGCGACCTTTGGAATACTAGTATTCCAAAGAGGGGGGTGCACCCTCCAAGCCCTTACAGGAGAGGGTGAAGGGGGTGCCTTTTTCATGATAAAGCAAAAAATAATAGCGACAAAATGAGATACAGTAATTTGAGCAATAACATGATGATAAGCAAACTGTGAACAACAATTCAAATTCAAATGTAGTATGTTGATGGGCGAGTGGCACACATGACCGACACAACTCTGCGCCAGAGCTTCAGTGGCGCCGCCAGCTCGATAATTGGGGGGGGGCGAATATTCATATCTTCGTGTTCTGCATTATTAACTTCTTTTGAAATTGATTGTTTTTATGCTCTGTGAACACAAATATATGAATATTCCCCCCCCCCCAATTATCGAGCTGGCGGCACCACTGCAGAGCTTGCAGAGCAGCCCCCTACCAGATCATGCTGGATCGATCCCTGCATTATTTTATTTACACATGGAGGTGTATCTCTTTTGGTGGCGTAAAGGCATGTTTCTTGACACAAGTGACAATCCAAATTTTTAGATGGCTGTTTAAAATTTTAGTCAGCTCAATGGCAGGCTGGTTATTACCATGCAGTAATGCAGTAGAATAATCTTGAGCATAACATCTAACATAATACAGCAACAATATAAATTGTATAACTTTGCTTGATTTTAATATAGTTACTGAATATATAAACACTTCTTACATTTGGTCAACTTGCACAATAGTTGCTTGAAATTTGTGTTACAAGCACAGTCAGCACTAAGCAGTTTACTCAGCGTTTACATAGTTGTTTACATGTTGTACATGTACTCAACAAATCCCCGAGATATTTCTCGCTATAGTAACATACAGCGTAAACATACAGCGTAAAAACACATGGGATTGTAAATTTGAAGTTTGTTCTTTGCTGAAATATCTCAAAATTTGTGTTGACGTTTAGTTTCAATGTCATGCACGATTGCACGTTCCACTATACGTGTAACAGTAATCGACAATTCCAAGAGGCAAGAGCATCCATTATCCAGTTGAAATTTTGACATTTACCACTCCATCTGCATTCTAGAGTATTCCATTTCCCAAAAGTATTAATATTTGATGTTATATGCATGTAGGATACAGACCAAATATAAATTGAACGGTTGCAAAATTCTTATAAATTCCATTCACATTTCACACTTCGTCTTTCGATACGATTTACATAGTTTCGGCGTGGTTTGACCATCTGTATTTCGTTAAATTCCGGCCATCCGTTGTAAATGCAAAATATTCAATGTTTCATTCATATTTGTTTCAATTTGCAACATAAAATGATATTCTCGATCGATATTTTTTCGAATTGTGTCTGAATATAAAAAGATCGTATCCTATGGGAGTAGGGGTAACACAGCTTTTGACATTTTGTAGTAGTTTTGATATGAACAATTAATCCCATGGGGGTGGGGGTAACATAGCCGGTCCACAAGGGTACATAGCTGGTCCAAAGTCTTCGGGTTTTGGCAGGCATCGCCACTATTAAATTTTTTCCCTGCAAGAAATTTTGCCCGATAATCGAAAGGCGATGCCTGCGGAGGAGGCTAGATGGCGACTGTTTACATTATTTGAAATTTGGCCCGCGTGCATGCCCAAGGGAACTGATAGTGGGCCTGCAAGCAAGGCCCGGTATTTTGTAAAACGCCCCTTTTCATAACACGCCCCATTCGCGCGTCAATTGTCAAAAAGAACCAATGACAGCACCCAAATATTAACAAACAAACTCGCATTAAAATGTTGCGGGGTTTTCTCTGCTTATTCAGAACATAAACAATGTGTAAATGGCTGCGTTTTAACTCCAAAAAAGCAAGCAACGCAGTCAATAATTGCCAAATTTGCAAGTGCTCATTTTCAACTAAAATCGGAACAGGCAAATTAGGACGAATTTCAACAGAAAACCAGTCTCAAACTTCAAATCGTGAGGGAAGTCGTGCGACCACATTAGCATTTATAGTTATATTATGTGTGCTTCGCTGCCGCCATTGTTATAAATAAATTGTCCCACTTATCAGATCGTGTGTGCAATTCTTGTTGGCGGCGGTATAGTAATGTACGTCTATTAATAATTAACGCACGTATTACGATTAGTTTATATTTAGAATATGGACATTATATATTCAGTTGTTTACATGTAGCCGAGATATCAAGAAGTCTATTAAATAAGAGAATATTATAATGGCGACGAAGATAAACGTATTCTACTAACGAAACGATGGTGGAAGAGCAGGCAGAGCCTCAACCACTGCAGCAACCGGCTGTACAGATCATGCAATCTGTAACAATAACTCCAATGCCAGAATTTTGCCCAGATGCAAAAATCGGAACAAGCCTTTCGACAAGATGGAACAATTGGCAGTCAGACGTCGAAATGTATATAACCGCAAGTGGAATAACGGATCCAAAGCGAAAACGTGCACTCTTGCTATATCAAGCCGGACCGAGAGTTCGCGAGATTTTTAAACAAATCCCCGAGACAGGAACTGATACGGACTACGACATCGCGAAACAGAAATTAAAGGCTTACTTCGACCCTCAAAAGAATCGGCGGTACGAAGTTTATCGTTTTAGACAAACAACTCAAGAACACAATGAGACATTAGATCAATTTCACACCAAACTTAGAACAATATCAGAAACCTGTGAATTCGCAGACGTTGAATTTGAAATCGAAGAACAAATCATAGGCGGAAATTCATCAAAAATACGAAAGCGAGCACTGCGTGATCCTACATTTGACTTAAAATCAATGCTTTTAGAAGGACGTCGTGACGAACAGAGCAAGTATCAAGCTGAACAAATTGAATCTAAAGAACAAACTGACGGTGAGGCTAATAAATTAGAACAAAAACCTAATAACGGTAATATTTCGAACAGTAGTAATGTTATTTGCAGAAATTGTGGGCGTGCTTATCCACACACAGGGGCATGTCCAGCGAAAGGAAAAACCTGTAATAATTGTGGAAAACCAAATCATTTCGCTGCTGTTTGTCGAGGAAAACAAAAACAAACGCGATCACCGAGATACACAAACAAAAAGCATGCACAAAGAAATTTAAAAACATTAGATACAGGATCAAACACGAGTTCCGATGAAGACTATTTATATACCATGACAAATACAAAGCACAATCACAAGGTCAATGTTAAAGTAGGCGGTGCCAAATTTCAAACAACAATTGACAGTGGCGCGACAATAAATGTGATCGATCGTGACACTTTTAACAAAATGCAAGACATAAAATTAACTCGCACGAACACGAAAGCTTTCGCGTATAATACGAAATTACCAGTTGAATTTTTGGGAAAATTCGAAGCGGTAATCGAAACACGAAAACGAATATCTGTAGCCACATTCTATGTCGCTAAAGCTGCGAACTGTGGAAACTTACTTTCTCTTTCTACTGCACAAGAACTCGGACTTATTAGTTTGCATCTAGACAAACTGACATCAAAGGATGCCGCACTAGAAAACATCCTTCAAAAGAATTCTAAAGTTTTTTCCGATCTTGGAAAATTGAAGGGAGAAAAAATCAAACTAGATATAGACAAAACTAAAATTCCGAAAGCACAACCCCAAAGGCGTATACCTTATCACATTCGAGAAAAAGTGAAAAACGCGATAACTGAATTAGAAAATCAAGATGTCATTGAAAAAGTGCCCGAAAATGAAGCTACTCCTTGGGTTTCACCAATCGTAGCTGTTCCCAAAAAAGACGGACAGGTTCGCATATGTGTCGATATGCGGCTCGCAAATGAAGCTATAAGACGAGTACGCCATCCTATACCAACAGTAAATGATGTTAGTTTTGCCCTGAATGGAGCAAAATTTTTCTCGAAACTTGATTTGAGTCAAGCGTATCATCAGTTAGAACTGGACGAACAGTCTCGTTATATAACAACCTTTAGCACTCATGTAGGTTTGTATCGCTACAAAAGACTAAACTATGGTACAAACGCTGCAGCGGAGATATTTCAGTACACACTCCAAACCGCACTGCAAGGGCTTAAAGGCGTCAAGAACATAGCTGATGATATCATTGTATTCGGCTCAACAAGAACTGAACATGACGCTAATCTTGACAAATGTCTACAACGACTTGCAATGAAGGGCTTACGACTAAACCGAAGCAAGTGTAATTTCCTTAGCACTACATTGTCATTTTTCGGACAGGTCTTTTCGAAAGAAGGTACTCATCCTGATCCTAGGAGAGTAGCTGATCTATTAAATGCACCTCAGCCAAATAATGCACATGAAGTCAGGAGCTTTCTTGGCATGACCAACTATAGTAGTAAGTACATTCGAGATTTTGCAACACTAACTGCTCCCCTTCGTGACCTGACGAAAAAGGATGTTCGTTTTGAGTGGACAAACACACCAAACTGCTTTTGAAAAGCTGAAAAACACGCTTGCAATTGCCCCATGTATGTCATATTTCGACAAAAACAAACAAACTTTTGTAACAGTTGATGCTAGTCCTGTAGGAATTTCTGGAATTCTTTCTCAGAAACCAAGAAACGGTGACGTAGACAGTCAACAGATAATTGCATATGCCAGCCGAGCGCTGACTGATACAGAAAAGAGATACTCCCAGACGGAAAAAGAAGTGTTAGCGATAGTATGGGCAGTTGAACATTTCCATTTATTTTTATTTGGAAGTGAATTTACACTAATAACTGACCATAAACCTTTAGAAATTATTTATGGCCAACGTACAGCCAAAACAACTGCATGAATTGAAAGATGGGTGCTTCGCCTCCAACCATATACATTTAAGATAATCTATTAATCAGGTGCCAGCAACCCTGCGGACTATCTTTCCCGTCATCCAACAAACGAAAGCAAACGAAAACAGGAGAAGATGACGGAGCAATATATTAATTTTATAACTCAAAACAGTGTCCCTAAGGCGATGACATTACAAGAAATAATCAATGCAACTAACGCAGACGCAGCACTAACGGCACTTTATGATGCAATTAAAACAAACAAATGGGATTCCCCAATTGTAAAACCGTCCAAACCGTAAAAAGCGAACTTACGTCTACCACACACGGTGTTATACTTCGAGGAACACGGATTGTCATTCCTGCGGCTCTACAACAACGTGCAATAGATATAGCACATGAGACACACTTAGGAATAGAGAAAACGAAGTCTCTAATTCGTGAAAAAATCTGGTTTCCGCAAATTGACAACCAAGTCAAAAACACAATTGTTAAGTGCACCACTTGTCAAGCTGTCGGACAGGCGAATCCTCCAGAACCATTACGTACGACCGAAATGCCAGAGTTACCATGGAGAACTGTCCACATAGATTTTTATGGTCCACTACCATCGTCTGAATATCTGTTAGTGGCGGTAGATAGATACTCCAGATTCCCAGAGGTTGAGATAGTTCATTCAACACGAGCCTCAACAGTCATTCCAAAACTTGACAAAATGTTCTCAGTCCATGGCATTCCCGACACCCTTATATCTGACAATGGTCCCCCTTTTAATGGAGACGACTATGCACGATATCTGAAAGCCCTTGGTATTCAAGCTAAGTTTTCAACACCCTATTGGCCCCAAGGTAATGCTACAGTTGAACGATTTATGCGACCGTTAGGAAAAGCGCTCAAGACAGCGACACTCGAAGGACGACCATGGAAACAAGAATTGAACCGTTTTCTTTTACAATATCGTGCCACTCCACATTGCACTACAGGAGTACCTCCATCAGAACTGTTGTTTAACCGAGTGATAAAAGGAAAATTACCAGTTATAAACAGCAAGAAGATTGTCAATCGACAT